CAATGTAGGCTCTGAGAAGAGCCGTTGATTCTCGTTTGTTTGTTCGGATCCAGTGGTGGAAAGATTGGCCGCCCGAGGGGCGTTTCCAGGGAGCGCCAGTGACATTATGTTCTTATAATATCACTTGCGTGGAGGCACCTTCCGTGCTCCCAGTTAATTATACTACTTTTGGCTGATTAAAATTAACTGGTTAACAAAATCGTTCTAATCGGGGTTTAATATAAAATACTTTGCACTGATATTATAGAATCTCCAAAAAAACGTTTTAGCATACAACTTAACACAACCATGGATAAAATAACTTCACTGCAATGAGGGTAGGCAAATATGTTGTAGGCAACCAACATTCCATTTGCAGTGTTGCAGAGCAGGACAATACATGAATTTTAAAGCAACCGGTATGGCCCCACTTTACCCTATATATACTACTATTATATTCCTTTATTTTTGCAATATTTTTTCTTCTTCCGGGTTTGGACCGTGTCATTTGTGAGTGACCCAAAAATGGGTTCATCTCGACGTTTCGCTACAATTGTATGTAGCTTCTTCAGGAGAACAAAGAAAAAGAAATCAAAAGACAGGAAGATGGGTAGTTAGCAACGGTAACTCAGTTACTCAACGCAACCAGAGGCGAATACTAACTACCAAGATGGGCATTTGGTCACAGTAACTCAACTACTTAACGCAGCCAGAGGTGAAAACCAAATGCCAGGACAGGGATTCACGTCCAACAGCTCAGAACACTAACGCGTCGAGAGGCGGGGAGTGAATCCGACGATTACTCCGCTACCTCTCTATTTATAGTCGCGGTGACCTGTCGTGTCGGGACGTATCGGCACACTCCGTGGCGCGAACGTCAAGAAGCGCGCGCTGGCCAATTATGTGGCTGCATCGTGGTAGCGGGACCGGACGGCGGCTCTAGACTGAGATTCCAGATGGGAGACAAGTAGTATCCTTCCTCTCGATTGATATTATGTGGATTTTTTCGGATCTCTAGAGATTCGCGGATTTTCTTGGAATAAAAGAAGGGGCTCTTAGAAATAATATGGGTTTTTTCGAACAATATGGAATGACCGGTTTCTTGGCAGTGTTCTGCAACTGCAGAATGGGAGAAAAGACCTGATCGAATGCATCTTTGATGCTCTTGAATTCGAGTTTTGACGGAACGACCAGTTTCGCCAATATACACATGTCCACATGAACAAGGAATAGAATAGACACCACAGGAAGATAGGGGCGGTAATGGGTCCTTAGGAGAGGGTAGATATTGTGAGATTTTCTTGGGTGGTCGAAAAGTAGTCCTGATACCTTCTTTGCGAAGAATTTTGCCAATCCTATCAGTGACACTTCGAATATACGGAAGAAAAGCCACAGGAGTATTACCCGAAGATTCTGAATTTGTCGTCCTAGGGTGTAAAGGGGGATGTAGATGTCGGTATGTAATATTTTGAATTGTGGACTTGGAGTAACCGTTGGCGACAAGGGTTTTCTGCAGATGGCCAAGTTCTTCTCTAAGGTTGTCGGGTTCAGAAATCGAAATGGCCCGATGGATGAAAGAGTTGATCACAGAATTCTTTTGGGCAGGATGGTGGTGTGATGAAGCATGTAGGTAACGATTCGTGTGAGTCTTTTTTCTATAAACAGAGTGACCCAATCGGCCATTGGGCTTGGAGGTGACTAACACATCGAGAAAGGGAAGGGACCGATTATTTTCTACTTCCATTGTGAATTTTATACTCGGATGTTGTGAGTTAAGATGATCTAGGAAGGGAGAAAGGGTATGTTGACCATGGGGCCAGATGATAAATGTATCATCAACGTAGCGGAACCAGACCTTTGGTTTTAAGGGGTAAGATTCTAGGGCTGAAGACTCAAAGGCTTCCATGAAAATGTCAGCAATGACAGGGGAAAGGGGAGAACCCATTGGTGTTCCAGATATTTGTTTGTAGAAATTGCCTCTAAAAGAAAAATATGTTGAAAGGAGGCATTTTTCCGCAAGATCTGCCAAAACCAAAGACTTGTTATCATTGGTCAAGTGATCTCGCAGAACAACTAGAGAGTCATGTATGGGGATATTGGTGAATAGGGATGATACATCGAAACTGACGAGAATGTCTTGGGGATCGACCGTGAGGGAGGAGATTAAGGTGATGAAATGTGTGGAATTTCGGACATAAGAAGAGGTACGACCAGTATAGGTCTTAAACTGATTCGACAAGTACTTTGCGAGTTTGTAGATAGGAGAGTTAATCGTAGTCACAATGGGACGAAGAGGTACGTTGTCTATGGATTTTGGGAAGACCGTAAATTCTGGGGCAAATGGAGTTTTTCGGAACTATGGACTTCTTAACATCATCGGAAAGATCGGATTGTTTGATGGCATGGGAAATTTCGCGTTCGACTCTAGGAGTGGGGTCTCGAGAAATTGTATTATAACAGGATGTATCCCTAAGTAAGTCGTTTACTTTCTCTATGTAGGAAGGAGTATCCAGGATGACTGTGGCATTACCTTTGTCTGCAGGAAGGATTATTATCTAAGAAAGAGAACGGAGATTTTTGAGAGCTATGAATTCCTCACGAGATATATTGGAAGTAGGGATTTTGGCTGTATCAAGACATTTAGCGACGTCAAAGCGGATACGGTCGGCTGGAATTTTGGGAATTGTGCGGAGTGCCGCTTCCACATTTGAAACTATTTCTTCGGTAGGAATTCTGGAAGGAGTGATAGCAAAATTAAGACCTTTATATAGAAGACTGCTTTCTGCACTTGTTAATTGGTGAGAAGAAAGATTAACGACGGTGTTAGTAAGAGGTGAATGAGAAGTAGAAGTGGTGGAATGTGATTTTTTCTTAGATACAAGGGATTGGAATTTCTTTTTGTGAGTTTCGTTGCTTAGAAGAAGGATTTTATCGGCTTGATGATAGGAAATGCGGTCTAAAAGTGACCAATCATCGACACTAAGAATACTGGAGAGTTCAAGATGCAGCTTAAAAAGTTTTTGGGATTGAAAATTAAGGGTTTTTTGAATATGTTGAATCCGTTCACGAAGTAGAGATAGGCTGGCTCGATGTAGAATTCGGGAAGAAGATGAAGAGGAAAGGTGATGTTTTAGAACAAGAAAATTGGAAACCAAGTTATTATCACGACATCTGGAGAGGAAGGTGAGCGAAGAAAGTAGAGATGAAACTTTAGAGCGAAGATTGGAGAACTCTGAGGTTTTGCGGAATATAACCTCCCCGTAGAGGTTGGTCAAATGAAATCGTAGGCTTCCACGGCCAGAGTCAGAATTATAGTTTATTCGTCTTCCGGGTTTGGACCGTGTCATTTGTGAGTGACCCAAAAATGGGTTCATCTCGACGTTTCGCTACAATTGTATGTAGCTTCTTCAGGAGAACAAAGAAAAAGAAATCAAAAGACAGGACCGCCCCTATCTTCCTGTGGTGTCTATTCTATTCCTTGTTTATGTGGACATGTGTATATTGGCGAAACTGGCCGTTCCGTCAAAACTCGAATTCAAGAGCATCAAAAATGCATTCGATCAGGTCTTTTCTCCCATTCTGCAGTTGCAGAACATTGCCAAGAAACCGGTCATTCCATATTGTTCGAAAAAACCCATATTATTTCTAAGAGCCCCTTCTTTTATTCCAGGAAAATCCGCGAATCTCTAGAGATCCGAAAAAATCCACATAATATCAATCGAGAGGAAGGATACTACTTGTCTCCCATCTGGAATCTCAGTCTAGAGCCGCCGTCCGGTCCCGCTACCACAATGCAGCCACATGATTGGCCAGCGCGCGCTTCTTGACGTTCGCGCCACGGAGTGTGCCGATACGTCCCGACACGACAGGTCACCGCGACTATAAATAGAGCGGTAGCGGAGTAATCGTCGGATTCAGTCCCCGCCTCTCGACGCGTTAGTGTTCTGAGCTGTTGGACGTGAATCCCTGTCCTGGCATTTGGTTTTCACCTCTGGCTGCGTTAAGTAGTTGAGTTACTGTGACCAAATGCCCATCTTGGTAGTTAGTATTCGCCTCTGGTTGCGTTGAGTAACTGAGTTACCGTTGCTAACTACCCATCAGCAAAAAAAATCGCAAAAAACACAAAAAACGGCTTCGGCCACCAAAAAAATTATCAAAAACCCCTAAACCCGGGCACGTAGGGCCCAACCCCCTTGAGCACCAAGTCGCCGAACTGAGCCGGGACTCAGAGCGGAGACTTGAGGCCCAAGTAATCAACTTTAGTTCGCGGATAAGCTACATTAAGATAAACAGGAATAAAGCGGAGATGCGCTGTCCTGAGTTTTCACATACGGTTAGGAAACCATGTTGGGGTTCTATTACCCAGGACCCCCCACATGAAGAGCACTTGGCTGATTGTTGTGCCTCTATAGCGAATCAGATTGCTATAGGGGGGAAAGGGATGGTCTAGAGCACTGGAGCACGGTGGGGTAATTCCTGTTTTTTAAACTCGAATTAAAACACCTTGCTCCAATGAATTGTTACACCCGATCGTACTACCTGGGTGAACATTTCTCATAGGCTGGGTTCAATCAAATTGCTTGCTTGAATCGTCAGATTCACTCCCCGCCTCTCGACGCGTTAGTGTTCTGAGCTGTTGGACGTGAATCCCTGTCCTGGCATTTGGTTTTCACCTCTGGCTGCGTTAAGTAGTTGAGTTACTGTGACCAAATGCCCATCTTGGTAGTTAGTATTCGCCTCTGGTTGCGTTGAGTAACTGAGTTACCGTTGCTAACTACCCATCTTCCAGTCTTTTGATTTCTTTTTCTTTGTTCTCCTGAAGAAGATACATACAATTGTAGCGAAACGTCGAGATGAACCCATTTTTGGGTCACTCACAAATGACACGGTCCAAACCGGGAAGACGAATAAACTAAATAAAGATGAATAAATAAAATAAATGATGACTCTGGCCGTGGAAGCCTACGATTTCAATATTTTTTCTGTTCCAGTAAAATGTTTATAGTTGGTTTGTATTTTAGGTTGCCCCCAGGAGGAGAACAAAATGAAAATTATGGAAACGTTACTTTCGTCTCATAAAAGAAAATATATTTGTCAACATGCTGAAGGAAAATTATTAAATAAAAATATGAAAGTTGGGACTGCACAAAGACCTTACAAGTGTAAAATTTGTTTTAAACAGTTTAGTAAAGCCGGTAATTTAAAAAAACATTTGAAGGTGCACACTGGAGAAAAACTGTACAAATGTGAAATTTGTTTTAAACAATTTAGTGAAGCAAGTTGTTTAAAAAGACATTTAATGGTGCACACTGGAGAAAAACCATACAAGTGTGAAATTTGTTCTAAGCAGTTTTCCCAAAGAGGTCATTTGAAAACACATTTAAGGTGGCATGCTGGAGAAAAGCTTCATAAGTGTGAAACTTGTTTAAAGCAGTTTATTACTACAAGTGATTTAAAAAGACATTTGAGAATACATACCGGAGAAAAACTTCACAAGTGTGAAATTTGTTTCAAACAGTTTGGTGAAGCAAGTAAATTGAAAATACATTTGAGAGTGCACACTGGAGAAAAACCATACAAGTGTGAAATTTGTTTAAAACAGTTTAGTGATACAAGGACTTTGAAATCACATTTGAGAGTACACACTGGAAAAAACTACAAAGATGAAACTTGTTTAGAGCAGTTTATTACTGCAAGTGATTAAAAAATAAATTTAGCACGCACTGTACACGTAAATTGTAGAAGGAAGAGGATTCTTTGTTAATGTTTGTTATTTACTGTTCCAACATTTATTTTTTATATGATTAAAATTTTTAAATTTAATTTAACTATGTAAATGTATTTTAATTAGGCAATTGCCCGTTGATAAATAAATAAATGACGCAAAACAGGACCCAGCTATTGTATGAATTGTCTCAGGGTATTTGTATGAAAACGAAACCTTAACAAAAATTTGTTATCATCAAATTCTTCCATATAATTTTCTCGTATATAGGTTCGGCCGATATTTAAAAAGTATGTTATTCTTTCATTATCATCAAAATGTTCCTCAAATTCGTCTGATCAAATTCAAATTTCAAAAAATAAATTCAATCACTGACACGCAAAACAAAACGAAAATATAATAGTTTATTTTATAAATTTAAGGTTAGAATGTCTTGATTATCTGTAAAAGTCTGTAATTGACCATTTATTTCATTTTACTGCACTGTTTATACGGCTCATTTGATTTTCTTAATTTTTGCATGATACAGTACACTACTATCAAGCATTCCACTGGTATTAGCTAAACTAAAAAATTCCAGGACTGGCTTTGGAAAAATTAATTTAGGGATTCGTATTAAATATTACACCCTGTATATATATTTTTTAAAATGAAATAAGTGATTTTCAAACTACATAAATAGCCAATGAAAACGACTCATGCGACAATGTTGTCACACTTTTATTAAATTTTTAGTGAACGATCAAATCTTACCAAAAATAGAACAAATGAAGTATCAAATCCTAACCTAACCTAACCTAACCTAACCAAGGTAATTAATTTAAACAAATGTTATAAATTTCAAACATTTTAATTGAAATGATAAACTGAGTCACTGCACAACAAAAAACAGTAACTACTAACAATAACGAAGAACAATTTAAAAAAAAAACTAAAAATATGTACATAGTTATGATAAACCCATAAATTAGAACTGGAAAAGATACAATAAGGGCAACAAAATAAAAATAATTCAAAATAGATTTTCGAAATGGAACCCTGCAGCCTGTACACATTTTTGTTGCCGAATTGTTAATTGACGTATTAAATTACGGATACTCTGGGGATCGTTTCTAATAGTATTACAACAATGTATAATTCTATCAATTAATTGTTATCGGTTATTAATATTCACTGCGTAAACTAGTTGCTTCAATCGTCCCCAAATATGGTAATCAACGGGATTGAAATCAGGGGATCTTGAAGGCCACGAAATAGGACCTGCACGTCCTATCCACCTGTTGCCATAAACATTATTGAGATGTTGTCTCACTGCCAGTAAAAAGCGTGGGGGTGCTCCATCATGCTGAAAATACATCCCTCGGATAGCAACGTTCGCGTTGGCAAGCAAATTCGGCAAAATATTTTGTAGAAAGTTCAAATAGACCTGCCGTGTTAAAGGACCATAAAAAAAGTGAGGACCTACTAATTGGTTATTTATGACACCAATCCATATTTTCTTTTATGAGACGAAAGTCACGTTTCCATCATTTTCATTTTGTTCTCCTCCTGGGGGCAACCTAAAATACAAACCAACTATAAACATTTTACTGGAACAGAAGAAATATTGCAAAAATAAAGGAATATAATAGTAGTATATATAGGGTAAAGTGGAGGAATACCGGTTGCTTAAAAATTCATGTATTGTCTTGCTGTCACAATGTAAATGGAATGTTGGTTGCCTACCCTCATTGCAGTGAAGATATTTTATCCATGGTTGTGTTAAAGTTGTGAGCTAAAACGTTTTTTGGACATTCTATATATCAGTCCAAAGTATTTTTGAAGGTAAGTTTATCATCTTTAAAATGTTCTTAGGGCCGATACTTTCAGTCCTGATTAAACCCCGATTAGCACAATTTTATTAGCCGGTTAACTTTAATCAGCCAAAAGTAGTATAATTAACAGCCTTTTACAGATAATCAAGACATTCTAACCTTAAATTTATAAAATAAACTATTATATTTTCGTTTTAAGGTGTTTTAATTCGAGTTTAAAAAACAGGAATCACCCCACCGTGCTCCAATGCTCTAGACCATCCCTTTCTCCCCTATAGCAATCTGATTCGCTATAGAGGCACAACAATCAGCCAAGTGCTCTTCATGTGGGGGTCCTGGGTAATAGAACCCCAACATGGTTTCCTAACCGTATGTGAAAACTCAGGACAGCGCATCTCCGCTTTATTCCTGTTTATCTTAATGTAGCTTATCCGCGAACTAAAGTTGCTTACTTGGGCCTCAAGTCTCCGCTCTGAGTCCTGGCTCAGTTCGGCGACTTGGTGCTCAAGGGGGTTGGGCCCTACGTGTCCGGGTTTAGGGGTTTTTGATAATTTTTTTGGTGGCCGAAGCCGGTTTTTGTTAGTATTTTTTGATTTTTTTGGTGGCCGAAGCCGTTTTTTGTGTTTTTTGCGATTTTTTTTGATGATGGGTAGTTAGCAACGGTAACTCAGTTACTTTAATCAGCCAAAAGTAGTATAATTAACAGCCTTTTACAGATAATCAAGACATTCTAACCTTAAATTTATAAAATAAACTATTATATTTTCGTTTTGTTTTGCGTGTCAGTGTTTGAATTTATTTTTTGAAATTTGATTTGACCGTGTCATTTGTGAGTGACCCAAAAATGGGTTCATCTCGACGTTTCGCTACAATTGTATGTATCTTCTTCAGGAGAACAAAGAAAAAGAAATCAAAAGACTGGAAGATGGGTAGTTAGCAACGGTAACTCAGTTACTCAACGCAACCAGAGGCGAATACTAACTACCAAGATGGGCATTTGGTCACAGTAACTCAACTACTTAACGCAGTCAGAGGTGAAAACCAAATGCCAGGACAGGGATTCACGTCCAACAGCTCAGAACACTAACGCGTCGAGAGGCGGGGAGTGAATCCGACCCATTACCGCCCCTATCTTCCTGTGGTGTCTATTCTATTCCCTATATTGGCGAAACTGGTCGTTCCGTCAAAACTCGAATTCAAGAGCATCAAAGATGCATTCGATCAGGTCTTTTCTCCCATTCTGCAGTTGCAGAACACTGCCTAGAAACCGGTCATTCCATATTGTTCGAAAAAACCCATATTATTTCTAAGAGCCCCTTCTTTTATTCCAGGAAAATCCGCGAATCTCTAGAGATCCGAAAAAATCCACATAATATCAATCGAGAGGAAGGATACTACTTGTCTCCCATCTGGAATCTCAGTCCAGAGCCGCCGTCCGGTCCCGCTACCACGATGCAGCCACATGATTGGCCAGCGCGCGCTTCTTGACGTTCGCGCCACGGAGTGTGCCGATACGTCCCGACACGACAGGTCACCGCGACTATAAATAGAGAGGTAGCGGAGTAATCGTCGGATTCACTCCCCGCCTCTCGATGCGTTAGTGTTCTGAGCTGTTGGACGTGAATCCCTGTCCTGGCATTTGGTTTTCACCTCTGGCTGCGTTAAGTAGTTGAGTTACTGTGACCAATTGCCCATCTTGGTAGTTAGTATTCGCCTCTGGTTGCGTTGAGTAACTGAGTTACCGTTGCTAACTACCCATCTTCCTGTCTTTTGATTTCTTTTTCTTTGTTCTCCTGAAGAGGCTACATACAATTGTAGCGAAACGTCGAGATGAACCCATTTTTGGGTCACTCACAAATGACACGGTCCAAACCCGGAAGAAGAAAAAATATTGCAAAAATAAAGGAATATAATAGTATATATAGAGCAAATTGGGGGCATACCGGTTGCTTTAAAATTCATGTATTGTCCTGCTCTGCAACACTGCAAATGGAATGTTGGTTGCCTACAACATATTTGCCTACCCTCATTGCAGTGAAGGTATTTTATTCATGGTTGTGTTAAGTTGTATGCTAAAACGTTTTTTTTGGAGATTCTATAATATCAGTGCAAAGTATTTTATATTAAACCCCGATTAGAACGATTTTGTTAACCAGTTAATTTTAATCAGCCAAAAGTAGTATAATTAACTGGGAGCACGGAAGGTGCCTCCACGCAAGTGATATTATAAGAACATAATGTCACTGGCGCTCCCTGGAAACGCCCCTCGGGCGGCCAATCTTTCCACCACTGGATCCGAACAAACAAACGAGAATCAACGGCTCTTCTCAGAGCCTACATTGACAATGATGACCATAAACATTGAGGGTATTACTTGTAATAAACAAGAAATTTTGTCTGAACGGTGTAAAATCCACAAGTGTGATATATTATGCATACAAGAGACTCACCGTGACATATCAGCACATAGACCTAGCGTTGAGGGAATGCAGCTTATCATTGAACATCCAAGTGCAAAACATGGAAGCGCCATCTTCGTGAGAAGAGATATTGATGTAACATCAGCTGAAAAAATATGCTACAACGACATTGAAATCCTGACCGTCGAAATACGAGCCTGCACAGTGACATCTGTGTATAAACCACCATGGAGAGACTTTGTTTTCTCCCCTCCAAAAAATTTCGCTTCTCAAAAAACCAGATTCATTCTCGGTGATTTTAATAGTCATAATGTTCATCCGGGCTACGCTTCAACTGATAAAAATGGAGATCTTGTGGAATCGTGGGCTGAACAAAACAACTTGGCCCAACATGACCCAAAACTGCCCTATTCGTTCTAAAGCAAAATATGGAAGAAAGGTTACAACCCCGATCTCTCCTTCATCAGCATGTCTTTAGAGGATCGTTGCGTTAGGAAAGTATGTAAGCCTATACCGAAGACGCAACATAGGCCCGTGGGAATAACCGTATACAGCGCTATAAAAGCTCCCAAAATCCCTTTCAAACGAAGGTTTAATTTCAAAAAAGCGAACATGGAAAAATTTACTGATGAATTGGAAACACAGGTGAAAAATATAGTCCCGATCCCCAAAAACTATGATGCGTTCATCAAACTTATATAACGAATCTCACGTAAACACATACCCAGAGGATGTCAACAACATTACATATCTGGTCTGAACGATGAAGCAAAAGACATTATGACAAAGTACACCGAAGAATACAGTAAACACCCATTT